AACAGGTACAATTAAAAGCTTATCTCCAACCGTGTTAGTTAGTTACAGTGTTAAACACATTAAAAGCTTATCTTCAAAGGTTTTACTTCCGATCATAGCTTATCTTCTGATCACAGCTTATCTCTCCAGAAGTTCTACTTTTGATAACGGCTTATCTCTCCAAAATCAAAATTGAAACTCAAGAGCTTCAGAGATTGCATCAGGATTTCCTTAACCGAAGCCATAAAATGATAAATGATAACATCTTTAATAATCAGACTAATAACAGATATAATTAAAAGCTTATCCCCAACGAACCGTGTTAGTTAGTTAGTTACACTTACACATTAAAAGCTTATATTCAAAGATTTTACTCCTGATCATAGCTTATCTACAAATTCGAGAAGTTCTATTTTGATAATGGCTTATCTCCAAATTCAAAATTGAAACTCAAAAAGTGTTTCAGAAAATGCACATTGATTGAACGAGATTCATCAGAAACCCCTGACCTTAATTAACCATAAGAATTCATAGATAAAAACTTTTTACCTTTTTGCTGCTCTGTTTCCTTTAACCATCATGAGCCAGAGGGACAAGAAAACACTTTGGGATTTGATGGCAAATATTTCAGATAGCGAGACACGTCAGAAGATGTCTTGCAAACCCTTTAGGCCTCACTCTTTGGACCTAACACTATCAAGCCTTGCACCACAGTTTTACAATGAAGAAGAATTGGCTCAGATAAAGAGTCTCCATGAACAACTTGATTTGCCACCTGTTAGAACCACAAAGACAGAGAAAGAAAAGGTGACCCCAAATCAAATGCATGAGGACGAAAACGCCACCTCCGTGAATAATAAAAAACCAAGGAAGATGCGTATGCCAAAGAATGCAACACCATCATCATCTTCACCACCATCGTTACTGTTACCGTTACCGCTACTGTTACAGGCTCCACCAATACCACCACCACCACCACCACCACGGGGTCTGCCGATTGAATTCATGAATCGTATCAGAGAATTGAACGGCACTAACATTAAATTTCTGATGACCAAGACGCTTTTCCACACAGATGTCAGCCCTAGTCACAATCGTCTGTCAATGCCTATTAACGAAATTAGGTGTGATTTCCTCACGGAGGCTGAGAATGGAATGTTAGAGGAAAGAGAAGGCGCTAACGGAGGACTTGTTGGTGTTGAAGTGACGGTGTTGGATCCATGTCTCAGAGAATATCCTTTGATATTGAAGAAGTGGAAAATGACGAGTTCCAGCATCTACACTCTCATCAAAAACTGGAATATCATTGTTCCTGAAAATAATTTAGAAAAAGGCCATCAACTCCACATATGGTCTTTTAGAGTTGATGCCAAATTATATTTTGCTTTAAACAAAGTTTGAAAGCTAGATGTCGCATAGAGACACAGGACAAGTTAGTAGGTTTATAGGCGGAAAAAAAAACAGTTCATGGCGATTAGTTAGTAGGTTTACAAGCGCTAACAAATCAAAAAAAACATAGTTCATGGCTTTGTGATTAGTCTGATTCGGAACAGGTTTCGGGATCAAGGCTTTAAACCTCTCTTTCAATTATGGTACTAAGGAATATTTCACATATGCTTTCACATCCACCTACTTCTGCTCAATTCTCCAACACCAACTGAACGATCATCATTTGGTAAAAACTCTTACTTCTTGTTGTAAAGAATCTGTTTGCCTTTTTCTCTTCTCTTCAAGTTTTTTTTTTTTTTTTTTTGATAGACCTCTTATCTTCAAGTTTTCCTTCAAAGAATGCCTGCTTTCATTCTATTAATTTATTTTTTAATACAATAATCATATTTCTTGATAACTTTTGTTCAAATATACTCTATCAATATCGTGATATTAAAATATAGTTTTTCTAACAAGATTTTTTATTGATCAATCTGTATATTTTTATTATTTAAAATTAAGAGAATTTTTTTTCATTTTCTTACCCTCGTTATATCCATAATATATTGTCCTTTTTTTTCTAATTAGTTATTAAGCTTTATTATTTATTTTTACTATGACCTTCTAATTTTATGTAACTAGAACGTCACTTCGTTCTTATTTATTTATTTAGTTTTCTTTAATTGATTAAAGGGAAATTATTTTATCATATTGTAGAAATGACACTGTTTTGTCCTGCTATAGAATCCGGTTTCGTATTCTGACTTTTTAACAGGTCCTAGATCCTGACTCTCTTTTTTTTTTAATGTGAGACTCACGCTTGATTTGTGTGTAGATAAAAAACTCTTGTAATGTGACATGACAAAAAACTAACCCTTGATTAAAATATATATTTGTTTTTTATCAGTTCGATAACAATTGGGTTTGGTGATGAGTCTCCAATTTACTATGTATTAAAGGTTAATATAAGCATGAAATTGATTTGAAATTAATTAAATGTTATGAGAATTATAATTAAATTATTATTTTATTTTCAATAATATTCTCATAAGATTTCTTATATTTTGTAGTAAATTTCAGCTGAATAAAGAGATAAATTGGAGAGATCAAGTAAAGTTGCTTTGGATTTCTGAATCATTCAAGATCTTATCAAATCTTTGTTTGAATATTTTTAAGGAAAATTTTCCATTAAATAAAAAAAGGGAAGATTTGAAGGATTGAATCAAAGATATGATAGGAGATTCTAGTGAAGATTTCATTGAAGATATTATGGAAAATTAAAAAATATGATTTCAACCCTATAAAAATGCATCTCTTGGAAACACAGAGGCAGAATTTGACAGAGGCAAGAATATTCAGAGGAAGGAGGAGAACACCGGAGTCCAGAGTTGGAGATATCAAAAAGAGAGGAGCTTGAAGTAGACTGAGCAATATTGATTCTTCTTCTTCTTCTTTATGATTTCTTTTTCTTTCTTTATTTTGTTTAAGCCAGCTATGTCTGGCTAGTTTTCTTTGTAGTTAGGAATATGGATCCGACGTGAATCCTTGTTTTGGTTTAATTCTTTTCATTAATAAATTGTCTCAAATTTTTTGTGTTTACCTTGATTTGCATGCTTAAGTTCTTGTATGATCTGGCCAATTATATAGGGATAAAGAGGGTTAAGGTTCACAAATAGACATATTGGGATCTTGATCTAGACAAGGGTAGAACACCGATTCTTGCATGATCTAGACATAGGTTTGTAGGAATTGCAAACTTTTATAATTCATGGCACTTAAGGCTTAATCTAAAAGGGATTTCTAAGACATTAGGATTCCGATTGGGTTAAAGGGATAAAGAACTAAGACATTAGGGTTTAACCAATTAATTTTTAGATGATGAATTGTTTGAAATAATTGAGATAGAATATTATTGAATTATAGTTAAACCAATTAATGGGGATCGGAGGTGAAGTAAACCTAACTGCATTTTTATTCATAATTTCAATTTAACCAATTTTTAATTAAATATTAGTTACCTGCGAAATTACTTTTGAATTGTCTAACTTAAATAAAAACGGCGAAACTATTGCTTGAATTTAGTCCTCGTGTATTTTTACTTAATCACTTTATTACTTGTACGACAGGTATACTTGTCGTGTTCGCAACATTTGGACCATTCAATATTAAGCCTGATCTATTGGTTGTTTAGGTATTTGGTGCTATATATGAGATGGAGTTTTCCCGAGATGCTATGCAATAACGGATGTCTTGAAGCTGGATCTCTTAATTGTTTAGGGCGATTGGGGATTTCAATGCTTAACTCAGTATGTGAATGATAAATTTCAGTTAAGATGCGAAAAATGATTATATATCGATTTCAAGCTTTTATTTGTGGGAAAAGTATTTGTTTTTTTAAAGGATGTACGTAAGGTACATCCTTTTAATTTTTAACACTATATTACGGGTAGCACATAGTTATAATATAAAAAGTTACTTTTTTTCTCGCTTCTCCGTCACATCAGCTGATGTGAAAAGTGAAAAAAGAAGAAGTAACTTTTCATTTTATATCGTAGTATATAGTGTTAAAAATTAAAAGGATATAACTTATATCATTTAAAAGGACAAATAATAAATCTTTTATTTATATAGCAGTTTAGCATCCTGATTATGTCGTCTTAATATAGAAACAGTGCGTAGAGGTGGCTCTTGGAGGCTATTTCGTGTGCGCAATATTTATTTGTGGACTATATCTTGTAGATGTTGCTGGAACCAGGAGTCTATCCCTTAACTATTGGCTATTAGGATAGTTATAGACTTCTAAGCTGCTAATGTTGTGCGTCAATATTCCTGCAAGATTGACAATATATGCAGGATGATAGCTTTGAAGTCTTTAGTTATTCGGTCATTTTGGCCCTTTATGGATTGGGCCTCATATCTGGTATGAGATAGGTCCAGATGAATTTTAAATAAAAATTCTAGCATTTTTTATCTTTTGAAGTAAAAAATAACAACTTATTAATGAGTCTTTTTTTGTAATTTATCTATTAATTTATAGTATATAAAAGCTGAAACGCAAGTTGTAATTTATTTTTCTGCCTGTGCAATGGTATATCTACTTTTAATTATTTGACACATTCACTACGTACCCTGAGTTGTAAATATAAACCTCAAAGCTTGTATATATTTATGAGAAAAGCATTTTTTTTAATTTAAAGTACATAATTTTATGTTATTTTAAGTGAAAGCACTGTATTTTGATATTTTTTTACCTTTTTCTGCTCCGCAAAATCAAAAGAATGGAGAAAATGAGAGTATTATAGAAGTGAGAGAAAGAAAAAAAAAACCCACTAAAACACAATAATTTCACTTAAAATGACACAAAGTTGTATAACAAAAATTTTCCCTACATTTATATAATCATTTTGATTAGTGATTACAAAAAAAATAAAAATAAAGGAAAAAGGAACTGATATATTAAATCCAAAAATTTGAATTATTTCATTAATTTCTCGAGGAAAATAATTAAAATTGATTATTTTTTTTACATGTATAATCAATGAATTGAGCTCCCGTCATAAAGGGTACAATCAAAATTCTTTTCTTTTGGCTTACGAAAGAAATAGCGTGTTCTATAAATTTATGGCAAAAATATGAAGTTGGAATATTAATTCCAAGCTAACTTTACGTCAATATCTATGAAGCCTAGAGAGGACAAAAATTGAAGCTGAGGATGTGAGTACAGCTGCAGCGAAACAAGCAAGATCAAGGCCTGTGACTAAGGGAATATCCTTGAACTTCTCTAATAGTCCCACTTGAAGAATCATCATCACCGCATGCCCAATCTTCGACTTCGCCTGTTCAATTGATTGCATCCCTACCCACCGAGGAGGTGACTGAAAATTGATTACATCATACAAAAAATCATTTATGTATAAAATTTTGATAAAGTTATTTTCTAATAAAATCATAACATATATATATATAGGGATTCTATTTTCTCATGCGGTTGGAGATAGTTATCTCCTACTATAGACTCATGATGTGGTGGGGCCCACCACTTATTAAATAAAAGAAAAAAAAAATGGTGGCATAATTTTTAATGTGAGAACAACGGTTATCATGTAAAATGAGATAATGATTTCCCAAGTATATATATAGTTAAATTATTTTACATCATGCTAAGTTACACTCTCAATTTTGTTTACGGGCTCTAATTTATCATATATCTTGTTTTATGACTCATTTAATTATAGTCATGATTGAGACAATTTAAGTTCCAAAAATGCACGCATGATGCTACCTTCATGTAGAAGAGACCCAGCAAGTTTGATCCACAAAGCCATGGTTCTTTTTCTTTCCTAGCAGTCATTGATGCCACAAACATGACGTACAAACCCACCCCAAAAATGAGCAAGGCAGTTCCTACCATGAACATGTCTGCAAGAAAAGATTATCGAACACACGCATTAATCTATTAATTGATTTTATTAGAGTAGAGCAATCAGAATGTACAACAAACTAGTTATATATAACAAACCTATGGCTTCGATAAGTAGATGCACCACGTGTCCTTGATCCAACCTTTGAGACAACGTATGGAAATAATGCGCGTATGACTCGATAACAAGAAGGCAACCCTGCATTTACGAAGCCACATGTTTTTTAAGTGAGTTCTTTAAAATAACTAAAACAAAAAATAAAAGGAAATAGTGGATCGACAAGGCTTCATTTACCTCAACAAAACACAATACCGAGCCAAGTAAAGATCCTGCTACGGCGAACAATGTAAAAAACCTGCAATCGATTATTGCCTGCACAAGTGAAGCCATACATTGATAACCATATATATAATATATGTTTTGTATGGTTACTGGACCTTACCATAGGAACACGCATTTACCTATTGTTATGTTTACTAAGAGAAATTAATTCTAATTTGATCCGCATGTGAATACACCATGACCATGGATTATAATTAGCCATGGTTGTGGACTACGATAATGAAAGGCACTAAGTGCACAATAAAATTTCTCCTGCATATAACGTGTATACATAATTTATTTCTCACAACGGAATTAATTTATGGATTGTATATATGTTTCAAATTCAAATGACTCTTACGTGAGAGAGTGTAATTGAAAGATCATGTGTTTAAATAGAGGAAATAGCAGCTTTACAAAAATAAAAGGATAAAGTTGCATATAAAGATTACTCTTACTTTTATCCTCACTCAATCGAAGGTTTAATAGGAAGTGATTTTTTTTATATTATAATAAAATCATTTATGTCGTTGAAAATTTAAATTTTTGAAAGAATTGATTAATGAGATAAATGTAAGAATTATACGTATGGCAAATTCTTCCTAAACATCTTAATCACTAAATTTGTTAATGGTGAGACTGAGGAGAAGTACAAGTAGAAATATGTGAAGGAAAAAATAAATGGATAAAATTATAGAAGTACCCTTTCAATGAGCATCTGGGGATGTAAATTCCAACGCTTCCTTTTGACCGCGACCCGCAAAAGAACCAGCATAGCATTGCGAATACTTGCTATAAACACAGCTATATCTAACAATCCTTGACGAACCACTGGTTTTGATGTAGATATGTGGTCGGTGGCAGCCAACGATGCCTTCACGGCCACCACCGGTTTTCTTTCTCCTTTAGAAGCTATGTTATGATCTTCATTGAAACTAGCCCTACTTTGGTACCTTATACATTTCATAATCGAAGAAGAAGTAGTAGTAGAAGAAGAAGGAAGTTGAATTGGCCTAGAGGAGCGCAACAATCTAGTGGTTGCCATTCACAATGAATTAAATTAAGTTAATTGGTCCAATATTTCAATTATGGTATAGGAAGTGTGTGGTGTGCCTTTATATATACCACACATATATGCATGTATCATGCAAATAAAGGAGACCGAAGATTCGAGGTATATTTAGGTGAATTTGGATGCATGCTGAACTTTTGAACGACTGAAACTTGTGCAAACTGTCACATGCAAATATCGGGTTTACACGTTCCAGAACGTGTGGGCCCTGCCGTATTTTGCAACGAACACGTGTCCAATTAGTATCTTTGGAGAACTTCAATTTTTACACTGTTTTGATTCTTATTGAGATATTGTTATTATGTTCCTTCGTGGTGGCATAGCAGCCGCCAATCTGTACCTGAGACTTTTCGTCACTGATTTACGGGTTTCCAAAGGCAATGAAAAGATTGGAATCGTTTTTGGAGTTTTTCGTTACATTTCTGCGCATACGCTTCAAGAAGACCGACACTGTTGATGCACGCATCAAGCATGGTCCACCTACGCGATTGGTTTACTTAGCAACGCAGTCCAACAGTTTATGTTTACCGTCCAAAAACAAATTTATATATTTTTTTTATTTAATATTTCTAATATAGTAGTACATAAAATTATCTTTTATATTTTTTTTCTAATATAGTAGTACACTGTAAAATTCATATTTTTTTTTTCTCTTCATTTTTCTCATATGATTTCCACATACTTTTATGTATACGTAGGAGAAAATTTTAACTTCTATATAATATTAAAAACAACAATATTAAATGTGTGTAACATTAATTTGTAAATCATTATTATTTCATATTTTAATTGTATTTTTAATAACATAATCGAAGTAACACATGTTGAATAATATAAAAAAAAAAAAAAAAAAAATCTCCAACTTCAAGCACATGTACGAATATCATCTTTTCCTGTTAGAATATATTTCCTTGAATAATACACGAGGCAAATGATACATTTTGCTTCTATTCTGTGAGGTATCACAGCTATGGTTGAAGAAAGAAAGGAACAAAAGAGATTCAGAAAGAAGCTATTGAATATTGATCAAATCTTATTACTTTCAGTAACCTATTGTCTAGTATATATACATTGAGAGTTGTACGGTTATAACTATATTCAGTTCTAACAGAATAACAAGTCAGTGCTTAACAGAAATGATTTGGGCCTGAACTGCGTTGGGCCTCTATGGTTATCATCCCCCCACAAGCGGAGTGGGCTTGAACGGCAAGACACGAAGCTTGGATCTAAAAAGGATAAATAGGTCAGTTGCGATGGCCTTGGTGAGTCCATCAGCTATCTGTTCCAACGCTGGCACATGATGAACAGAGACACGTTTTGAAACAACATTTTCTCTTACGAAATGGAGGTCCATCTCAAAGTGTTTAGTACGTGAGGGGAAAAGGGGATTTGCAGTGAGTAGGACAGCTGAGAGATTATCACAGTAGATGGTAGGTGAGGATGGGACCTTGATGTGAAGTTCCAAGAGGAGAGACTGGATCCAAGCTACTTCAGCAACTGTGGCTGCAAGACTCCTGTATTCAGCCTCTGTACTGGAGCGGCCAACTACATGCTGCTTCTTGGAGGACCATGTGACGAGGTTGGAGCCAAAGAAGATGCACAAGCCACTTGTAGATCGACGGTCATCTGGGTCGGAGCCCCAGTCGGAGTCACAATATGCAGTAAGCTGAAAGTTTGCTGAAGGTTCAACTGTTAAGCCATGAGTCATCGTACCACCAAGGTAACGTAATATGCGTTTTACTGCTTTCCAGTGTGTATCTAATGGGTTGTGCATGAACTGACAGACTTTGTTGACACTGTAGGCTATGTCCGGTCGTGTGATGGTAGCATATTGAAGAACTCCAACAATGGAGCGATATTGGGCAGGATCAGGGTGGGGAGATCCATCGTGAGCTGAAAGTTTAGGACTTGATGTCATAGGGGAAGGCATAGGTTTGCAGTCAACCATGTTGGCCTTTTTCAGAAGATCAGAGATGTACTTAGACTGGTTTAGGAGAAATCCACCAGATTTAGTTTTGTGAGCTTCGATGCCTAAGAAATAGTGTAGATGGCCAAGGTCCTTAAGATCAAAGGCACTGTTTAGAGAGTGAATAAGAGACTTGATGGCTGATGAGGAGGATCCAGTTATAAGGATATCATCTACATAAACCAGAACAAATAAGGTAGTGTTCTGATTTATGGAAATGAATAAAGAGGAGTCACATTTAGCTGTAGTGAATCCAAGATGATGAAGAGTAGTACTGAGTTTCTCAAACCAGGCACGTGGGACCTGTTTAAGGCCATAGAGAGCCTTGGTGAGTTTACACACTAGAGTCTTGTCCTGATGTATGAAGCCAGGTGGCTGCTGCATGAATACCTCTTCCTGAAGATCCTCATTCAGGAATGCATTGTTCACATCAAGTTGGTGAACTGGCCATCCTTTAGATAAAGCAATAGTGAGGACAATCCTAATTGTCGTGGGTTTAACAACTGGACTGAAGGTCTCCTGGTAATCAAACCCTTCTTGTTGATGAAAACCCTTAGCTACTAGTCTAGCCTTGTACTTGAGAACAGTACCATCAGGCTTGAACTTGGTTCGAAATACCCATTTACAACCAATAGGTAATCTGTTAGGAGGCAGTGGCACAAGTTGCCAGGTGTGATTTCTGAGAAGAGCTTTATGCTCTTCTTTCATAGCTTGAGCCCAATGTGGCTGTGATAAAGCTTGAGCAGCAGTACTGGGTTCCAAGGATACTGTAAGAACTTTGGGTTTAAACACACCAGCTTTAGCTCTTGTAGTCATGCTATGAGTATTGGTCAGTGGAGCTTCAACCATTTGATCAGGACAACTATCTGGTGCATGAGGTAAAGAGCTGCATGCAAGAGTCACAGGAATAGAGGAACTACAAGTAGAATTAGTAGCACTAGCAGAAAAATCAGCAGTAGGAACACTCAATATAGGAGAATTAGGAAGTAAAAAGGACTGATGAGAAGAGACAGTGATAGTGGGGATAGAAGGAGGTGGTAAGGATGCAGAAGCTGATGTTGAGTTTATTCGATTATGTGATTCTTTGTAAGGAAAGATTGACTCATCAAATAGGACATGTCTAGCTATTGTGAGTTGTCCAGTTGGACTTAGGCACTTGTATCCTTTATGTTTAGGACTGTATCCTATAAAGGTACATTTTGCTGACTTAAAGTCAATTTTATGTCTGTTGTAGGGTCTTAAGTATGGGTAACAAGCACAACCAAAGGTTTTTAGATAGGTGTAGTCAAGAGTTTTGTGAAATAAGACTTCAAAAGGGGACTTTTGGTTGAGAATGGGTGTAGGTAATTGGTTTATGACAAAGGTAGCTGAGAGAAATGCATCTTCCCAAAACTTGGTAGGTAAATTTGAGGCTGCCAGTAGAGCCAAGCTTGTTTCAACTATATGTCTGTGCTTTCTTTCGGGTTTCCCATTTTGTTGATGAGTATATGGACATGTTAGTCTATGAAGAATTCCTTGTTGTCTTAACAGTGATGATAGTTTTAGGTATTCTTTTCCATTGTCAGTTTGGAGTGTTTTTAATTTTGTGTTGAGTTGTAATTCTGACATAGCTTTGAATTGAGAGAAAATTTCATATGTTTGTGACCTGTTTTGCATAGGATAAATCCAGGTATAGTTTGAATAGGCATCAACAAATATGATGTAGTATTTGGAGCCAGAGGTACTTGCTACTGGTGCAGGGCCCCAAATGTCAGATACAACAAGCTCTAGTGGATGTTTGTATACAGTAGTTGTATTTGGTAAATGTAGTTGATGCATTTTGGCCATGCAACAAGCACAACACAGTTTTGTATCAGTTTTATTTGCAAATGGTATATTACAGTGCCTAAGAACCAACTTTACAGTTTGAAGAGATGCATGAGCTAATCTCGAATGCCATAGATCTAGATTAGAACTTCTAGATGTATTATTACAGGAAATATTTGAACAAGTAGTAGAGACAGGTCTTGAAACAGCTTCAGCAATGTTTCTTTGGAGATTTTGGAAACCACCATCAAAGGCATAGAGTCCATTCTTAAGCTTGCCTTGGAGAAGGATCTCCTTGGTAGCCTGAGATTTAACATAACACACATCAGCATGGAATTCAAAATAAACATTATGCTCTTGAGCAAATTGAGAGACACTTAGCAAGTTCTTTGATAAGCTAGGAACATGTAATAAATTTGACAATTGAAATGAAATAGGATTGACAGTAGAATGCAAGATTGAGTGTCCAATACTTTTGATTTTTAAGTTAGAGCCATTACCTACTTGAACTGTTTCCTGACCATTGTACTGTGTTTTGTTTACCAGATTATTTGCATCAGGTGTGAAATGATTGGTAGCTCATGAGTCAGGATACCAGCTGGGATCTGTTGCTGAGAATTAATCAGATGATGCACTAAATTGACCTGAGTCAGCATATGAGGCTGTATCTTCTTGCTGACTCGAATTGACAGAGTTTGTCACTGCCATATTTGCTTGAAAGTTTCCATTTCCAGAGTTGGTGCTGCTACTGTTTTGAGGAAAAGAACTGCTACTGTTATGAGAAAAAGGGCTTTGGAAATTCTGATTATACCTATGATGACATTCCCAGCCAAGGTGTCCAAACCTTCCACACACTTGGCATTGTGGCCTGTTGTTTCCAAAAAATCGTCGTCCTCCTCTTTGAAATATGTTTCCTCCTCTGTTTGCAGAGAACCTTCCTCTATTCTGATTGAATCCTCCTCTAAAATTTCCTGGAAAATTATTCTGTCTTCTGTTTTGCAGCTGTGTCATATTGGCTTGCATAGGTGTTGCAAGATTCCTTCTGTGTTTATTAAGCCTTTGCTCCTGAGCCATGAGTAATGCCTCAATTTCTCCTGTAGTGTAGGGATCAGACCTAGAAATTACTGAAGTAACAAATGAGTCATAGTCTTCATTTAGACCATCAAGAATAGCATCAATATGGTCTTCTGTATCAACCTTC